TGAGCTGCAAAGCTGCTGAAGGCTGTGCTGACACTTTTTACTAAGCTGCGACGGACACGAAACAGCCGCCCGCCACCTGCTCCCTCTGCGAACAAGTAGCGCCAAACGCCTCTTCCCAGATCCCCTCCCACTCTGTTTATCCGGGAATCGCAGAAAGTTGGTGCTTTCCCGCAGGGAAGGGCGCTCCCGGCCCCGGGGAGCCGGCAGGGAGGAGCAGGATGTCACCGCGCCGGGAGGCAGTGATGAAGGACAAAAAAAAAAAAAAGGCACTAAGGTCTGGTTGTGCTTTGGGTTTGAGCCTCCGAAACGGGGATTTGCTCTGAAATATTTGTGCAGCTGAGCAAACTCGGGGCGGAAAGTGCCGGGAGCAGGGGAGGAGGGTGCTTGGATATCAGCTCTTGGTTTCTCCTGCACCGTAGTGCTGTAGCCAGGGGGGGTTGGGTCCTTCAGAAGGGGGGTGGCTGGGTCAGATTAAGGCTAGGAGCAGCTCAGAGAGGTCTCAGGTCCTGCCCAGGGCCAGGCAGGCTGAGAGGACAGGTCTGCCTGGAGGAGGAGCAGGGCGGGGCAGCAGCAGGGTGAGCACCAACCCCTGTTCTGCACCCCCGTGTGCAGGGGACGTTTGTACAGCACAGTGGGCAGAGAGCTGGGCCTGACCCCATCCACCCCTCCTGGTGCCCCCACATCCCACCTATAGAACGTGGCCAAACAGGACCTGGACACCGACCACCCCATGCTTCAGGTACCAGGTTGTTCCCCACCCCAAAGAGGCTTCACCTCTTCAGGCAGCTCCCTTAATCTTCAGCCTGACCTTTTGGCCAGACTCTGGCATCACCTTCCACGGGCAGGTTACCTCAGGCTGATCCTCTGCAGCCTCCTGGAGAGGGGCAAGAGGGACCTGCAGGACAGCAAGCCCCTGGAATAGCCAAGCAACACATCTTGGGACTCCAGAGGTTTGTAACAGAACCATTTGGGAACAAATGCTGCAAGAGTCTCACATGGTTTGTACCTCCTGTGCACACCCACGAGTCGCTGGAACGGCTGTTAGAGCACCCTGGGCTCCACATCCACCCTCTCCTCCCCTTTCAGCCAGCTGATCCCTCCTCCCATCCCTTCCCCAACTCCACTATCACTTTCCATCAGGGAGCAGCAGCTCAGCAAACCTTCCCCAGAGCCCAAATGCTGAAATGTCCCTTGGTGGATGAGAGCAGGGTCTGTCCCAGGCATTGGGCAGCACTGAAATAACATCCTGCAGCATCTCTTCCACACACTTTCCCTAAGCAAGAGTCATCTCTCAGCATTACCCCATGCACACAGCAGTGCTTCCCAGCCAAACTGGCTCAATGCTTGGCTCTGGGAAATCTCATTTGCCCTCCCAAAGAGGCCCCACAGAACCTCCAAGTCACCCAGGAGGCAGGAGAGCTCTCCACATCGGAGACAAAGGAAATGAACCGGGGCAAATCCCCCACCCACAGAAACCAGCCCTGGCATCTGGTGATTCACTGTGATTTACACCAGCTGGCTCTGGCCACAGAGAGTTCAATTCAAACCAGCTGAGGCTCTGGCACAGCCCATGGGGCTGGGGAAAGAGAAAAGAGAAGGCAGGACAGGGTTGTGTCAGTCAAAACAGGGTCAGACCCGGCTGTAGGTGGGTGTCTTGAGCTCCAGGTTTTTGCCCTGGGAGAAAGCAGAGGTGTGGGGATGGGGTGCTGTGGAGATAGGGTGCTGTCCTACAGCATGTGTGGGGTAGCTGGTTGGTGCCCAATCACCCCACAGGCTCCCTGTCTGGGAAACAGCACTAGGATGGGTTTCCAGCAGGTCTGGAATCTCAGGCAGTGTGGAATTATCACAGCAGTGGTGCAAGGACTGGGAAGCTCAGATGTGGTTAGTGATGTTCCTGTGGGGAGAGGTTGCTGAGGTGACTTGGGGTTGTTCTTCTCAGTGGTCTGGACTGAAGTGCAGAGCAATGGTTTCTATCTGATTGCTGTTTCTTGGGGTGGATCCCAAAGCAGTGCAGTTGGGCTGGAGGAGGATCTGCTCCAGGTGGGCTCTTTCAGCCTGGATGGTGGAGACCCCCCTGCAGATCCAGGGGCTGAGCCATGGAGGTGGGAGCTGCTGTCCACCCCCACTAGTGCTCAGAGCCAGCTGCTTGGCAGCGTCTGTCTGACTTGGCCAGGACAGGAGGGGTGTGCAGCCAGAGCTCCCAGGCTTGTCCCTGCTCAGCTGCTCCCTCTCCACCTGCCCCTGTAGCAGGGGCTGAGGGGTAACAGCAGCAGTGAATATCCACAGAGCTCCAGGAGTTCTGTGCCAGGGGAGAACCATCACCGTGTTTATCATAACCATGCTGGTGTCCTGAGAACATCCACAGTTGAGCAGAATGGTGCCAGAAACCTGTAGGAGCTGCGATGGCCTGTCTGTCCCTTGTCATCTCCTGCTCCACTGAGCAGCTGAGGGGAAACCTCTCTGGGCTGTCAGGTCACTGCACGCACATTTAGTTCCCTTATAGACTTTTCCTGCAATGTTTATGGCCTGGAACATCTTACCAGTGTGTTGGATCAGGAATATTTCTGTTCCCCGTGCTCAGGGACACCGGGCAGTCACGCCCCACCTGCCACATAGGCATGGCTGGCACTTTGCTAGAGAATCTCCATCATCTGAACTGCAGCTTTTATGGAATATCCACTCCTTTCTCAGTGCATTTCAAGTTTTACTCGATGTTCAGAGTCATGTTAGATGAGAAAAGCAAATGGAATCAGAGGCTGGAAACCCTCAGTCATCAGCTCAGCTCCTGGGTTTCGAGGGGCTTTGGCTGGGTTGTAGCTGTGCAGAGACCTCAGTTGGGACTCTTGGAGGAGGAAGGGGCCTTGCTTCAAATCATAGCTTTTGGGTTTGACCCTGACTGGGTTATGCTGAAAGATGAAGCCATGTATTCCTGTGGATGCTCTCCTGAGGAGTGGGAACAGCAGGCAGAGATGGGGCAGGAGGATGGTGCTGAGCTGGGGGACTCTTCATGGCCATGTTGAGAGGGGCTGGGGCACACATGGATCAGAGGTGTTGGTACTGAGGTGGTACCTGATGATCTTGGCAAGTGTGAGTGTCCAGCTCCTCGAGTTTCCTTTGCTTGTTAGTTCCTCCACTCAAGCTTTTCAGCTGCTGCTTGGCTCAGGCTGGGTTTGGCTCTGCTGCCAGAGGGATCTGGCAGAGTTGGATCTGGGGTCCATGAGACCTCCTGGAGCATGTCCTCTCCACCTGACAAAGCTCCCCCTGGTTCTGAACTCACCTCCCACTCCAGGGACACCTCCTGTACTGGGGCTGGTGAGCTGAGAGGGTGCAGAGCACCCAGTGCACCACGTCTGCCCTCCTTGCCTGGGCTGGCTCTGGGCATCCACCACTGGAGATCACCTCCTCCAGCATGGCCCTGTCCCAAAGCTGGCTTCATACCATGGCCCTGTGTGCACAGCAGAGCTGCAAAAAGAGGTATGGCCAGGAAATGCTGCCACTGCTATGGCTGTGCAGCCACTTCCAAGCTCTGTGACTCCATTTCCCCTCCCAGCCTGCTTAGTGCCAGTGGCTCTGGGAAGGAACTGCTTCTTGCAAAGGCTTTTGCAGCACACAAGGAATGAGGCCTCAAGCCCTGCTGAGACTGGCATGTGCCACCCTGGAGTGTGACACAGCCTTGCTGATGGGGGACAGGGAAGATGCTGCACAGCTTCTCCCCCAGGTTTTCATGTCGTGGTACTGGAGAGGAGAGGGTGTTGCCTGGGCAAGTGTGTTCTGGTCTGGCACTGCTCACGTGGGCTGGGGCAGGATATGGGCACCTGGCATGCACTGGGTGTGGGATACCAGCAGCATTCCCATCCTTCCCTGCATCCCCACCCTGCTCAGAGAGCCCTGGGGCCCTGCTGGGGCACTTCAGTTTTCACACCTGGGCTCCATGGGTGGCTGTGCAGGGATGGTGGGCAGTTGGGACAGTGGAGGTGTCTGAGGGCTGTCGCTGTACCAGACATGTCCCATTTTTTCCTGAATAAGGGCATTCTGTGTGTTGGGAGCCTCTCTCCAGCACCTGTGGGTGCTGAGGAGACATGAGATGTGCACGGGCAGCACGTCCATGAGCCCACCCCGATTCTGGGAGCTGGCATGGGGTGGCACATCTCCAGCTGTGGTGCCACTGGAATATTCCCAGCAGTGGCTGGAGGGCACCAACCATGTGATGCCGTCCAGCCACATCCCACATCCCTCACCGGAGCAGGTCCCTGGGGAGCAGCAGCTCCTGGGGCAGGGCTCAGCATCCCTGCAGCCACCCGGGCCCGTGGCCGGGCTCCAGCCCTGGTGGCAGTGCCAGGAGGCCGTGCCAGCCCTCCCGCCTGCCGCCGCTCCGGCCCCTGCGCCGCCCGGGCACGGCCGGCGTGTCCCAGCAGTGGGGGCCCATTAGAAATGAAATGTTCCTACTGGGGCATTTTATTTGCACACTTCAGTAGAGTGGACACCAAAAGGCTTTGCTAATGCTTCATGGGCTGCTAATTTCCTCTCTGACCCGCATTGTCGGAGGGTGACCCCAGCCCGAATCTCTCGGCAATGAATGCCAAAGGCTGACACTGGTCCGGGTTAGGGGTGACAATGGGGCCTCTGTGGGCTCCGGGCAGGCTCCAGTTGGGAGCTGGAGAACAGGGAGAATTTGTGTGGCTCTCAAAAGCTCTGGGTGGCACAATAAGGGAGGCCCCCGGGGTCTCCCAGGAAGACAGAGGCGGCCCAGGGAAGCCGGGCTGGGGGAGGTGGGAGGGAGGATGGTTTCCTTTGTGAGCAGCTTTCTTTAGAAAGGAAGGGTTTTCTGAATGCCCCCTTAGACGACCCAATCGGGGCCTGGCAGATGGATATCACAGGCACGCTGCTTATTCATGGCAGGCTGCAGCTTTGAGCTGTCCCCCCTTCCCCCAGCCCTTTATTCATTTTAAGGCTAATTTGTTTTGTTAATGTTTTCTTGCCCTCCCCCTCTCTCCGTGCAGATTGTGACTCATACTGCAAAGCCTCCAAGGGGAAACTGAAGATCAACATGAAGAAGTACTGTAAGAAAGACTATGGTGAGTCCTCCCTCTCAGCGCTGCTTCCCAGGGATGAGAGGTGGCAAAGGGATGCAGAGGAGGAGCATCCCCCTCTGGGGTGTCCCCAAGCCCTCCCAGCCCAGGGAAGGGCTGCTGGCTGTGTCCCAGCCACAGCCACGGGCAGCCCAGCTCTACCTGTGCTGGGTCGTGTGCAGTTTTGGGAATGATTTTTGGCAAGTTTGGAGAGGAAGCCCTGGGCAGCAATGTTTGGTGGAGAAAGTGGTGCAGTGTGTTTCTTGGGAATTTGGGATGAGGACACTATGGACCCTGATTAGGGGATTGTCTTAGCATCTGTAGGGAAACTCATATTTTCCAGGTGTTTCCAATGTCTTCTTGGTTACAGTGACACCATGTCCCCTCTCTTTATAAGGTGCAGCAGTTTTCAAAAAATATGCTTTGCCATGGGGATGAGCAGAAAGCAGCTCCCTGTCACCCAGATCCATCCCCCTTAAATCCCAGGACAGTTCAGAAGGTGGTGCAGCCCTGGGACAAGCCGGGACACTGCGGAATCCTTGCTGGTATCCAGGGTCCTGAGAATCCTTCCACAGCTCTGCCCTGCAGCAGTGTCTTGGAGCAGACACATCCTAAGCTCTCTGCTCCTGGGATTATTTTTAATGTGGGTCCATTCCCAACATGGTCACCAGTGGGCCCATGCAGTGTCCATGCAGGACATGTCCAGGGTGACCCCAGCAGGAGCTTCTCTCCTCCTTGGCTCAGACATCACCCACTGGCAGGTGGGGAGGGATGGCTCTGCTCTGTCCCACCTGCCCAGAGGATCCCCCTCCTTTGCCAGCCATGCCAATGCTGCTGAGATGAGCTGAGTGTCAGGACCAACCTGGAAAAATCTCCTTAAATACAGATGCTGTGTGCCAGGGGATGGTTAGAAATGCAGCTAAACTTGTGGAGGGTTTGGAAATTATCTCCCCCCTCCACAGACTGTAGAGGGGGGAGCAAAGTGTCTGGAGGAAGGACCAACCATGAGCTTTTGGTTTGACCCAAGGATGGGGAGTGGGCTGAGCACTGGCAAGCCTAGCTCAAAGCTGAGCCTCCACACATGCGAAAACCAGGGAATATGAGAGGCTGCAGAGCATCTGTCCAGTGCCTGCCAGTCCTTCCCTCCACAGTGGAGGAATACATAAAAGATATCTAATATCTATATCTAGGTATAAATACATGCATGTGTATGTTTCTATCTGTGTGTATATGTATTTCCACCAAACTATCAAGAAAAAGCATCTCATTCCATCTACATGAAAACACCCAGGAGGAGTTTTTACCTCCTCCCTCCTTCAAACATACAGCAGCAGCTCAGCATGTCTGGGAAGTGTTTGCAAGAGCAGAACGAATTCCCATTTAACAGCCCATCCCTGGACAAGGCGCTTCCCAGCAGGGCTGGCTGAGGGATGCTCCACACTGGCTTTGTGCTCTGGTACTTCCCCGTGAGCTCAGGGGAGGAGAAAAAGGCCTTGGAGGCAAATCTTTTATTTGCATTCCCATTTATTCTTCCTTTATCCACATGGCAAAATGGTTGTGCAGCAGAGAGTATCCCTTGGCAAGGGTGAGGTGCCAGGGCTGGGGTGCAGTTGTGGTCCCCATCCAGCAAGGCTGTGCCGAGGTCTGGTCGTGCTCGTAGGAGCTGCTGGAGGTTCAGCACGTGTTGGAAAGGTCCAAGGAATGCCTTTTCCCTTGGATAAAAGGGTTTAATGGCACATGGGAAAGTCGCTGCTAAAAGGTTATTAAGGTGATATATGGGGTTATTAAAGAGGGGAGCAGGGCTGAGCCCCAGGCCACTAAAGCCATGGCTTCTCCAGCATGTCTTGAGAGCTGAGCTCACACTGGAGCATTTGCCCTCTGAAGAGGGGAGAAAACAGTTGCTTGACTGCAGGAAACTCTTGTTTTTTTCATGACTTGTCATGATCCAAGTCAGCCCCAGGGGTTGGGAGAATGGAAGGGAGGACAAAAAGGCAAGTGCATCCCCCTCAGAGCACGTTTCCAGCCAAGCAGTGTCACCTTTCCCTGTGCTCTTGAGGAGAGGATTGGGAGGTTTTGGTGGTGGCAGGACTTGGGTTTTACTGGAGGGGCAGCCCTGGTGTGTTTTTGCTCCTTGGCTTGTCCAGTGTCACCAGGGGGTGTTGGGGGTTCAGCTGAAAGCTCACACTTGGTTTTGTTTGAGGCTGGGGAGATGAGAGCAGCTCAAGAGCTTTTTTGGGCAGGAGATACCCCTGGAGCCATGAAAAGGGGAGAGATACCCCCAGAGCAGTGATTGGGGAGCTGGAAAGAGCTTTTCTCTTTTAACCCACAGCAGCACTTCTGCAGCTTCACCAGTGAGCCAAAACCCTTTGCTGGTTTGGGTGAGCGAGTGCAGAACTGGGGTGCTCCCAGCCGAGCCCTCCTGAATCTGGAGGGGTCCCCAACAGCCCCAACCAGCCCCACAGCCACAGCAAATTTGCTTTTCCAAGGGCAAACCAGCCTGGCGAGGCAGCAGGGTGAGCGGTGCAGTGCCGGGGCAGTCCAGGTTTTCACCGGGGTGAGGGAGGGAAGAAAGGGATGAAAAGGTGCAGGGAGGGATAATAAAGACTTTGGGACTGACACCCCAGCAGGAAGCCAATTAGGAGGCTCTTTTCCTCACCGTTCTGCTGCCGTCGCTGTGCTGAATGTCCTAAAAGGCCCTAATTAGCTTGAACAGAGTTACTTCTCCCGCGGGCTCAATCGGGAGCTATCATCCGCCCGCGCTCCTCAATGGGGCTTTTTAGCTCCCCGCTTCATTCAGCCATTCAAAGGGGATATTTTCCCTTATTTATTTTTCTTATCTGTTTGTTTTTGTTGGGTTTGTGGGGTTTTTTTCTTTTTATTTTAAATTGGGCTTTTTCGCTGCGAGATGGGTTTTGGTGCAAATATTTGGAGTGAAACAGGACGCGGGGAGGGCGGGCTGGGAGATTCGGAGAGGGGGGAAGGCAAGAAGAGGAGCAGAAAAGCTTTTTCTGGGTTTATTTTGGCTGCGTGGGGGAGTGCAGGGTCACCCAGCTCCCAGAAATCGAGGGGTAGAGGAGGGGTTTCACTGGGTTGGGGTCACTTAAATTAGCCTGGGGAAGCAGAGGGGATCCCTGCTGAACCCACTGAGGGTGGAGATTCCCCCGTGGCCCAAAAGGAGAAGGGATTATTTGATTAGAGCAGGTGATGCTGATCCAGGTGATGTGGGAGCATCCTTTACTCACTTGGGTGCTGCCATTTCATCCTGTCCTTTGGGGCTTTTCCCACTCTCTGTGTGATTGTGGCTCATCCAAGTGGCTGTGGTAAGGAAACCTGAAGCTTTTAAACCTCATTTCCCCCCTGATTCTGAGCCCCCTGTGCTGTACCAGGGCCTGATCCTACCCAGGTGATCCCAGAGAGTTGTGCTGGGTCCTGTGTCCCCAGCATCAGGGAGAGGATGGGGGTGAGGAACAGGATCCTCATCTGAAAGGTGAGATCATCTGCTCGCTTTGCCCTTTCTTGGAAAAAAAAAAGTGAAGAAAAAAAATCCTTCCTTTCTCGGAGCCTTCACTTAGTCACCCCCTTTGTCGAGAGGAGCTTGGCAGGGGCTGCTGGAAAAAAGGAAAAACGTGTTTTCAAAAGGCAGCTTGCAAAGAGGGAGGGGGGAGAAAAAACCCTGAATCCACAGGAAAACACGAGGCACGGGGGAAGCACCATCCCTGGTGCTCACAGACCCTTCCACTGCCTGGGAAGGTGGAGAAATCCCATTCCTGGAGGGAAGCACCGAGCAATCCCTCCTGTAACCACGTGCTGAGGGAGTGACCCGGGCAGTGAGGGGACCCCCAGCACCACGGGGAGGGATCATGCCTGGCCAGGGCACACCCAGGCCGGCTGGGATTAGGGGTCATAAATCTCCAATATTAAACCAGTAGGAAATTGGCAACTGGAGCGAGGCAAAGCCACTGCCAAATAAATTAAAAATTAAAAAATAAGGGGAGAAAAATCCCATTTTAACTCTTTGCTCCAGCGAGGAGCCAGCCCTTTACGTTCCCAAACCCAGATGGTGTCGGGGTCACCTTTAGCTGCTGAGTTGGAATAAAATCCACATGAGCTCCACTCTGCTTGTGCAGTGAGATGGGAGCCAAGCCTTTGGAAAGCCCCATCTCAGGCTGGGACACCTGAACCCCAAGCACCCACTTCCACCAGTCCATATTAAACACCTACTTCCATCAGTCCATATTAAAGACCCTTTTGTTCTCCCAGCAAACTGCTCTGCTCCCACTGCCATCCCCTGGGCCCAGGGGATCTCCCCCAGGGGCCAGCACAGCGATGCTCCCAGTCTCTGGAAGCTCCCATGGACAGGTCAGTGCATAGGATATACACGATATTCTGTGTATCCACAATAGGATGCACAGGTTTGGCCCTGCAGCAGACCAGCCCTAGGTCAGCCTTGGCAGGGGAAACCTCGAAAGCAGGAGATTTATCACAAACCCCAAAAGTAAACCTAAAAATTTAAATAATTAATTTTTTTCCCAGCCTCACTCTTTTCATGGCAATCCCAGGATTTTTGGGCCCCTGACTCATGGTCTCTGAATGCTGTGAGGAGCTGCTTTGCTTTAAGCCTTGTGCAGCTGCCCTCAGACATGTTGTTTGGAGGGACTGGGTTGGGTTTTGTTTTTATTAACATCAGGCCATCCACCCTTCTGCTTTCATCTCCAGCATCCAGCCCTTGGGTCTTTCTTGTGGCTGGAGGCTCCCTGCCAAGCCTCCAGGAGCCAGGCAGCATCCTGAGCCCCTGAGCTGAGCTCCAGGGAATGCAGGAGGGGAGCAGGGACACTCCATCCCCTCCCACAGCCCAGGGGCCACTCAGCCACCTTTTTCTTCCAAAGCAGCATAATGTGGTGAGACTTGTAAGGCACCATCCAGGCAGGATTTGTGGTCCAGGAGCACCAGTGTAGGGTGGGATGTGGTTCATGGGGTGGCTCCGTGTGCTCACCAGGTCCCCCAGCTCTTCATGCCCGTTGCTGGCTGGGGCTCCTTTGGGGCTGGCAGGGAGCAGAACAGTGAACCTGGAGAACAATCCCTGGAGCTGTGGGGGTGTCTGGGGTGCAGCAGCCCCAGATTGCCTGCAGGGCTCAGCTCCCCACTGTTTGCAAAGCTCAGGGACAAGCCACAGGCAGACCCAAGGCTCTGCCAGGCTTGGAGCCTGCACTGGGGCCCATCCTCACTGGAAACCAGTGTCACCAGCCCCAGCTGGAGCAGCAGCACTGTGAAAGCTGCAGTTTGTTTGATTTTGTGCTCCTGCTCCAGGTCACCACCCACTCCCAGGACATCGTGGCCAGGGGAGCACCATCTCCCCAGTGGTGAATAACCATCATCCCCTATTGCATCCTTTCATCTGGCTGCCCCATGGATGCTTTCAGGGATGTTTTTCCAGGGATATGGTGACAGGGACAGTCTTGGTAACAGGGGTTCAGTGGGAGAGCAAAGTGAGAGCAGTTCACCACGGCACAGACAAGCCAAGCTTTGCTCTAGGAAATGGCAGGTAAGGACAACACCAAGCACTAAAATCAGCTTTGGGAGAGGGGGGGCACAGCTGAGCCCCCTCCAAATCATGAAGGGGCTGAAACCTTCTCTTTCATGAGAAATGAGAGTCTAAATCCCTGGGGATTCACTCAGGGGAGCCAGCTTAGGTACCTCCTGGTGCCTTTCTGTATCTCTGCACGTCTCGTGTCCTTTGGGAGACGCTGGGGAAGCTGGTCCCATTCCACCACTGAAACACCCCGGCAAGGCACTGCTAAACCTGAACTCCAAAACCAGGCTCAGGGGGAACTGCATGTCCTGGATGTGAAGTTATGGGCAGAAAACGGGCTGTCAGGGGAGGCAGCTGCAGCCACGCCAGCCAAGCCTTCCTCAAAGCTTTCACTCCTTCCACTTCATTAATAAAAGAGGAAAAAAATAAGAGACGGGGGCCTTGACATCAAAAAAAATACAGACTGTGTGTTTTAGAGCAGAGTTTCCTGTAACCACCTCTCTCCGGTTCCTTTTCATTCATTTTCTCCATTTTGTCAGTGTGGACCCAAGGCAGGTCAAAGGTTTAAGCTTTTTTGGAAAGATTTGTTTCCAAAAAAATAAAAATTGGCTAATCTTCACATTTTGTTACCTTCACACCAGACAGGGAAATACACGGTCAGAGCTTAGGGTTGTTTTTTTTCCTTTTTTTTTCTTTTTTTCTTTTTCTTCTTTTTTTTTTTTTTAATGAAAGCATCTGGCCTCCATGACATGCTCTGAAAAAAAATACCCCATATATTTTGCAACGTGTTAAAAAGCTGTGCTGAGCTGCAGAGCTCTGTTTCCTCCCAGAGCCTGGGATCAGTTGGCACGGTGTGTTTTTATAGAGGGGGTGATTCTCCTCCATCTCTAACCCAGTGGGGGGAAATTGGGTTGTTAAAAGGCAAATGAGAGAGTTTTGCCTGTTTTTTTGGGGGGGTTTCTTCTCCTGCTGTTAATTTATAGAAGCAGGATTGGCCCTGCTTGGGCCTGGCCAGACAGCTGAGACAGGCAGGTGGATGGGCAGGGGGTTATAGCTCCCAGGGCACGGGGGAAGAATGGGAAAAAGGGAAAAGCTCAAAGATTTAGTCAAAAAGCACTTTATAGTTGGGCTGCACCAGCCTGCACGGAGCCCCTGCCTGCTCTCCCAGCCAGGGCTGGCGTCACCACCCAGGTTTTTACCTCTGTCTCTGCTGCTGGGGACAGTCAGCAACAGTCAGCAACCCTAGGAGGGCTGGGTAGTCACTGCCTGATGAGGATATTTTCCTGGAAGCTGACTTTTGGTGAGGAGGAATGTGTTCAGACTCCCTGGAAGATGCAATCCCAGCTGATTGCAGCTCCCATCCTTATCTGCCACCTGTGAGGAACTGTGTCAGGAGGAAGCCCACTGGTGCAGCAGGAGCTGCCTCCAGGCTTGTATCTCCTCTTCCTCACCGTGCTGTAGGGGCCAAACGCTCCCTTTCCCACGTGGGTCTCTTTCCTTCCCTTTGATTTAAACCCAAGTCAGGGTTAAACCCAAGGATGTCATCTGAGGAGGGCACAGCAGCACCTGTAGGGATGGCCAGGAGACATGGATGTGGTCCAGCATGGGCGAGGTGTCCAAGGAGGAGGAGGAGGAGGAGGAGGAGGAGGAAGGCTAGCAGAAGTCACCGTTGTCTGCTTGGGGCCACCTGGGCTGCAGGACAAAACCATGGTGGCTGCAGGGGCTTCTCTGCTCACTCGTGAGCAGAGCCCTCCCTTGGAGCATCCAGGTGTCCAGCACCATCCCAGCTCTGCAGCACCTTTGTGGACAACCTTGTAGAGAGCCCTCTCCCACCCCAGTGGTGGCTGAGCCCCCTCTTCTCTCTGTCCCTGTTGGGACCCTGGGCCACCACTCCTGCCCAGCTACTGGTGGCTGCAGGGATAAGGTCACGTAGGAACCATGTTTCAGGAAAGAGCAAGAGGTGCAGTGCTGGAGGGCTGACCCTCACCAGGCTTTCTCAGCCCACAGGGCAACAGGGGAGGTTACACAGCATCAGCCACAGGCTTGGAAAACATCATCACCTTGCTTATGGATCACAGTTGTGCTCCCATGTCAGTCCTCCTTCGGGAGTTTGTGATCTCCCGGTTCTCTGCCAGGCTGCTCCACACTAAGTTATCCCCTGGAAGCCTAAGGCTGCTATTCAGCACCTGCAGAGATACTCCAGTGACTGCCAGAGCCAGAAGTAAAGTTGGACACTGCCACTGACCTCTCCTTGTGATCACTGAGCCCCACCCTCAGTCCTTCTTCAGTGCTTTTTCCAGCAATGGCTTTTTCCACAGCAAGACATGGACAACCTTGACTGAGGAACATCTCCTGGAAACATCTGACCAGGGATCCTCCCTGTTTCCAAATCCATCCATAGGTCTGAACCTGCTCAGTGTCCTGGTCCAAGGCCAGTGTCTCATGTGGAGCTCCCTCCTTGCACTGCCCCTGAGCAGATGTGCTGGAGCCCCACACAGGTCTTTCCTACCTCCAGATTCCAAGTGCTTGGAGATAAGGACCAGTCCCAGTGTTTTGCTCCAGACTGGGGCTCATCTTCTCTTGAAACCTGGGGCTGCCTGAGGGTCCTGGTGCAGAAGTACCGTTGCCCATCCAGTGAGGAAAGGAGAGCAGAGGGGCTGGAGGGTTCCTGCAGAAACACATCCTCTGGCTGAAGCACGAGCTGCTCTCTGGACATGTGGATTGGAAAGAATATTCATCCCATGTCCTAGGACTGCAGCCTGGGGCTTTAGCACTGCCCCCTACAACACCTCGTGCATGGGGCTCTGCCCTGTGCTCAGGCCACCCCCGAGGCTGGAGGCACCAGCTGTCCCAGGGTTTGAATTCTCTCTGTGCTTGTGGCTTCAAGGGAAAAGACAGGTCCAGTGTACACGAATACACCTGTTTTTTTTAAGATTTTCTGATCACTTTAAGAGTTCACAGGTGCTGGGGCAGATGTTGCTGCACCAACATCCCCAGGAGCTGCCCTGTCTGTGCTTGTTTCACAACTATGCCCTGGGAGGTGCTGGTCCTCCCTAGGACACAGAGGAGGACGAGCAACCTGCTCCCTACCACTGCTCTGGATAGCCCTGTGTCATTCCCAGGGCTGCCAGCACAAGGAATGCCATGGTTCTTGCTGTTACAGCCACTCCTGCAGCCCCTGTGGGCCTTGGGTTACCACATCCATTCTCCCTGGGAACTGAGGGCTGTGTGTGGCAGCAGAGCTGGAGAGCATCTCCCAAGTCTGTGGTGGCCTTAGAACTTTTGCTGAGACCCTCAGATGCCAGAACTGGCTACTCTTGCTCGTGGTTGGTGGCCTGGGGACAGGGTCAGTTTTGGGGCACCCACCACCCTTGTCCACTGCCACCCCCAGCCCGGGCTCTGGGGATAAAACCCTTCTTCCTCACACAGCCCATTTAGGTAAGACCTGAAATTCATTTTCTTCTCACCAGCTCAGACGGTAACATCTTTTCCTCTCTTGCCTCCTGTGCTGTTTTTTTTCCAGCTGTTCAGATCCACATCCTGAAAGCGGAAAAAAATGCCGACTGGTGGAAGTTCACGGTCAACATCATCTCCGTCTACAAACAAGGGAGCAACCGGATACGGCGCGGAGACCAGACCCTGTGGATCCACTCCAAGGACATAGCGTGCAAGTGCCCCAAAATCAAGCCCATGAAGAAGTATTTGCTGCTGGGCAACAACGAGGACTCTCCTGACCAGAGCGGCATCATTGCGGACAAAACCAGCCTGGTGATCCAGTGGCGGGATACGTGGGCCCGGCGGCTCAGGAAGTTCCAGCAGCGGGAGAAGAAGGGGAAGTGTAAGAAAGCCTAAAAGGAGGAGAAGGCCACGGAGGGCGCGGGAGGGAGAGACTGACTGTGCATGCTGCTTTGTGTAGAGCTGGGGCGGGCAGGGACCGGCGACGGGGACGCGCCGCCGGGGGGGCTGGGGGGACGGGAGGGGGATCGCGGCCGTGGGGCTGTCGGGATTGCACCTCGTGTTCCGGGGGAAAACAAAACTTAAACCCAACAAAAACAACCGTGCACATGGACACAAACCAAGAGGAGTGTGGGTGCGGCACCCAGTGCCCCCCCCCGCTTCTTCCTGCCCCCCATTGCCGAAGAACTCAGAGACACCAAACTGCCTTCCAGCTGCTAACATCTGCTGCTTCCAAAGCACGGCATGGGAACATCAGACCTGTAAGAAACTAATCAACAGCAACGCTGGAAATTAACTCCCCATCCCCAAAATACGTATTCGCAGCTTAGGTTGACCAAGACAGTTACTGTAGAGGAAACTAAACAGAGACTTTTCGCCGAGGACAGATCCGAGATCGACTGACGGGTTATCGAAGACTTGGGTACCCCAGAGCTGTAACCACCACCCGCTGTGTGGTCCCTGGGGAGGTCTCCAGCCATGATGATGCTCTGAGCCCAGTTTAGGCACAGCCAAGAGGGGACCTTGTTGGTGGGCAACTTCCCCATGTGCATAACTCGGGGAGAGACTCCTCACTCCAGCCCCCACACCCTGAGAAGTGCTGTCCCCACCACACTGAAGGAGTGTGAGCTCAAAGGTGCCCTCCCAGCCACCGATTCCCAGTCAAGGAGTTAATAACCAGGTTCCCCAAGGAAACACCCAGACTTGGCCACAAACTGGCATCCAGTCCCAGAAGTGCTCCAGAAGATCCCTGAGTCTCCACTGCAGCCACCCTGAGATCTCCTTCATGGGCTCAGTCCTCTCTGGTGCTGTCAGCAGACCATGAACCCTCAGATGACAGAAAATCTGTGCAGAAGACACCCAGGTCCTAGCTGGCCACTGGTTTCACTCTTGAACTCAGGCAGCTCTCCCAAATCCACACCAGCTCTGCCCTCACTCCCTCTGGAGCTGTAGCTCCCTGGCATCCCTGCATGAGGTGGCCACCTCCTTGGAGACAAAGGAGGTGGGACAGTGAGTGCCAGGGACTGTCCCCATGGGGCCAGGGTAGAGCTCTAAGGCTTGGCTGAGGTAGAGCCCGTGCAGGGCAGAGACCTGCCCGAGGGAAGGGACTGGATGAACAAGGTGTGACCCACCTGGAGCTCCCCAAACTGTTCTCCTTCTTCTGCTGGGGGTGAAAACCCTGAATTTAAATTTCCCAATTTCAAATCACAAACACACTAAGCCAGGTAGGGGCTGCCTCACCTCCAACCTGCATCCTGAGGGCAGGACTGGCTGGTGAGCTGGCACCCAGGCACTGCACCCCCATGCCAGGCTGCTCCTCTGCCACACCAGCCCGTGAGGAATGGGGATATCCGAGTTCACCTCATCCAGGGAGACAGGAAAGGCAGGGAGGGCAGGACGGGTACCTGGAGGAGAAGCAAACATTAGTCGCTATGAAAAGCAAAACCTCCCTGATATTTTTCCTTTTAGGAAACTTGGAAACATCTATTTTATGACATTTTCCAGTGGTTTTGCCTTGTTTTATAGCAATTGACAATATTTATATAATGACATAAACCACCATAAAGCGAGGCAGCCATGTAAATAGGTGCAAAGTGGAGGCTCCCAGGGAAGCTCCAGCCAGCACTGGGCTGCTGGAGACACCACCCGGAGGGAGCAAGCTCTGCTGAGCCTCCCTCTGCCACCACAAGGCCCTCCAAAATTAGTCTGGGTATTAGGAGAAAAATTCCACCCTGGACATCAAGCAAATCCCCCTTAAGTCTGTGTTTTCTCCCCTTTCCCAGAGTGGACTTGGTTTTCCTCATCTCAGAGCTCAAGGAGAGGTGACGGTTTTGCAACCCAGGGAAGCCAAGCCACCAAGTTTTGAGGAACAAAATCTGACCTCAAGTGTCTAAATGGAGACTTAAAGCCCCAAAATGGGGGTTGGATGCTCTCCTGCAGCCAGTGTCAGCTGATGCCAGGGACACCTCACTGGCTGGAGACAGCATGTCCTTGGTTATTTGGGATGTCCTGAAACACAGGAGACCTTCAAATGGCCTAAACCCAGCAAGATCCAACCAGAAGCACTTGGAGTGCAGGAAGGCAAGGCCAGGGGACATGAGGACTTGGGAACTGCCCACTGAGCACACCTGGACACCCAACGGTCAATCCCATTTTCCAACCTTGTCAAGCACAGCAACCCTCCCCAAGCACAGCCTTGACACCCCCAAACCCACCCAGGGACACACCCCAGCCCCTTCCCTGTCCCACTGGTCTCAGAGGCTGCAGAAGAACCACCACCCACTCCATGCCATGGCCAGACCCCTCCAGGCACCAACACAACCTGGGAAATCTGAAGGAAAGGAGTTCACACAGGACATGGAACAGCTCAGATCCCACAGGGGTGAAGTCCCCATCCCTGTCCCACCAGGCCCCTGTCCCATCATCCCTGTTGGAGTTTTGCATTTCCAACCAGACCAGGGAAACCCCTTCACTCCATGCACGATCCCCCAGTGCCCCTCATGCGCTCCCAGTAACCCTGACCCGCAGGAGCTGCTGGTGGAACTGGCACACAGCCTCCCCCACACCCATTTTCGGGGTGCCCAGGGATGCAGCACTTCCCTGCAGCCACCCCCTGCTCCAGGACATCTCCTAGGGGGACACCTCTGTCCAGTCACCCAAAGAGGGACAAGATGCCCCCCCAAACCCCCCCTGCACGGCCGGGGGTGCAGCTCTGTGGGGAACCAACCGCACCACGACCAGCACAGAACCTGGGCACCCCCCACGGCCCTGGGGACAGGACGGGGGGCCGGGAGGGCAGCGGGGGTGACCAGGGAAGGGGCTGTGGTGCCTCCGCAGGGCTTTGGAGAGCAGCTGAAATGCCAAAACAATCATCACTGACGGTAGCACCCGACTAAAGTCGCTTCGTCTCGTTTCTGTTCGTCTCGTCGTGTCCGTGCCCTCTCCCCGCACACCCCCCTCGTCCCCTCACAAAACCTGTGTTGTTTTGGGGTTCAATTGTTTTTGTCGATTTTTTTTTTTTATTATTATTTCTGTTAATATCTTGAACTGTAAATGTTGTTTAGTTATGACCATGGCAGACTGCTTTGGGCGATGTTTCTTTACAATGCATACTAATATATTATGGTTATTATATATGAATATATTTAATGACACGTGAAAAAGTTGTGGATTTTCTTATTGTTTTTCCCAGTTGTTCCTTTTTATTTTTTTTCTTTCGTTTTTATTTTTTTCCCCCTCTTTGTTTGTTTGTTTGTTAGATTGGCTGTAATTTACCTGAAGGAGCTTGTAACTGTTCAGCACCCACTCGGTAGAACTAAAGTCAGAAACCAGTTGAATAAACTCTTGTAAACTGTAAAAATCTGCATGGATTTCTGCTTCCTCCCACCCCTCAGGCTGGCAAGGGACGGGGAAGTGACAGTGTCTCCTCTGCCTCCCTGGGTCTGCCATTGTCCCCTTGGCAGGGTTGAGGTGGCACAGCTATTTTTGACTGCCAGTTCCAGCCACATCCCCCAAATATTCCCCTGGCACTACTCCCTGCCCTTGGGGACAGTGGGGTCACCATGGGGTGGGTGGGTGGGATTGGGATGGGGGGCCCTCCCAGCACCTCTGCTGCCAGAGGAGACTGAGCCCTGCAGTGGGACAGAGCCAGGGCCTGCCAAAACCCGTGGGACCCCATACAGAGTTGGGGGAACTGGTGAGGGGACAGGGCAGAGCCAGAGTCTGGGCTCAGGGGAGCTGCCAACCCCACTCCAGACCTATTTCTGTCCCATGCACAGGCTGCTCACCAGCACTGTCCCTTCCTGCCCATCCTGTGCATCAGCTCCACCACCCATCACCCACGGGGCACCAGTGGGGCCAGTGCTGCTGCTGCACCCGAGCCCAGGCCAGGGCTGGTGGCACCAACAGGATGGAAACCTGGAGGAGGGGGGAGCTGAGGCAGCAAAACACTTCCAGGGAGAAAAATACAGGCAAAAGGTCCTGCAAACTGCTGAGGGGTCAGACCCCTGACCCTGCCCTCGGCGTCACTGGTAATTTATGGATCCAAAAACATCTCGGAGGTCAGAAATCTCAGATCTTTATTGCACAGACAAATGGGCCACAAGTGACACCCCCTCTGCTCCGGGGCCAACGCCTGCGGCTCCACTGAGGAGCAAATGGGTTTCCCACATTGCTCCGGCTCCAGGCAGGTGGCCCAGTCCTCCAAAGGTGACACGGTGGCTCTGGAAAGAGGGGGATGAGCCTATTCCCACTGAGGGCCAGACCCGGAGCGGTTCTCCCAGCCTGGTCCCACCAGGCAGCGTGGGAGACCAGCCATCCATGCCCTGAGCTCAGCACTGAGCTCCCACCAGAAATGAGAGCCTGTGAAAATGCCCAGCAGCCTCCCAAGGTCACCTCTGTCCTCACGTAGGAGCTGGGGACGTTTTACTCAGGGCACTGTGACATCCAAGTGTGTGTAGCACGCACCAGGCCTTCCCCCAGCACTTGTATTTTTGATAAAATAACAACTGGAAGCGACTAAAGTCCTGAGCACGTCGTCCAAGAGAGAAAGGGAGGAGTGGAAGGGAAGGCAAAGGGAATGTGTCTCTCCGGGCACATTCCAAGAAGACCTCTGCTTGGAGAAGCCACTGCAGGTTGGCTTCTCCAACCCTGCTGCTCAGAGCCAAAAACCAGCAGTTCTCGTATTTTAACCTTCCTTTTTCTTTAGAGGGGCAGGGAGACAGCACAGCTTTCCTCCTCACAGCAGAACGCTGCCAAATCTGCTGCTTTTTAATAAAATTCCTCACCCACATGACACATTAAATGTTACCTAAAGGGCAAGTCTGAGAACCCCTTTGTTCGACATCTCGGAGAGCAAATCCTCGTGTTTCCACCCAACAGGAAAAATGTGTCTGAGGACCCAGTGGGTCAGAAACCGCCTTTTTAAAGGCTCAACCAGAGCAGTCACAATGTAATGTTGATCGGGATGAGTTACACGTCCATCCTGCATGTCCTGGGAATTCAAACAAAACCTTCATTCCCTCTGTAAATGACAGTTCTAATTAGAAGCCCGAGCCCGTGGTCTCATCTCAATAAACCACGTGTTGTTCTGCTGCTGTTGCTGACGATCCACTGGGCTGTTCTGGAGCCGTGAGTGAAATCCCACTCAGGGCTGGGGCACAGGCTGCTGCTGAGGAACAACTCCAGGAGCATTTCCAGTGTCAGTCCCTCTGCAGAGCTGCAGGAATGCACAAATTTGGAACATGTCTCCAAAGCCGCCCGTTACTCGTTTCCAGCTGGAGCAGCCTTGCTTAAGGCTCCGTTTCTAATCTGACATCAAGCAATAAACTAATCAAACCCCTGCCGTGTCCTCTTGAAAACCACAAGAACATTAAACTTACTTTTTTTTCCCCCTCCCCTCCTAGGGAGGCTGTAAGATAAAGCATCTCTAAGGAAAAGCAAGCAGGCACAACCTGGATTGGACTTTTAAAGGCTTCAAGGATAATCTACAGCGAAGCACTTGTGGAGCTGGTCTCTCCCCCAGCTCTGGCCTTTGGTGCCAAGCATTGAGCACGGGCTGGGTGTCAGCACAGCCCTGTTTGAAGCTGCTGCCCAAGCCACAAGGCACAGCTGGATCTACTGGCCTTTTTCTCCACCAAGCTCCTCTCTCCACCTACCCTGTGCAATTCCCAGGAGCACAAAGACAAGGAAATGCTGCTCTCCAGCTCCAGGGCACAGTTCCTACAACTGTAGGACATGATACTATCAATGACAGGTATTGAGAGAAGCTGCCCCATCCCTGGAAATGTCCAAGGCCAGGCTGGAGGGGGCTTGGAGCAACCTGGGCTAGTGGAAGGTGTCCCTGCCCGTGGTCTTTAAGGTGTTCTTTAAGGTTCCTTCCAATCCAAACCATTCTATGATTTTCTGTATTCCATGGGGTACTCAACAGCTCCCTGCCTCTGCTTCCTGCAAAACTCCATCTTCTCCCATCACGGCCACCTCTGTCATTCCCAGCTCAGATCCTGGAGTGATGGAGTCAAAGCCTCAGCTCCAGCCAACACCTGCCCACTGCAAGGAGATGGCTGAAGGTCATCTCAGGTCATGTCTTAATGAAGGGGTCTGTGCCCAAGCCTCAGCTAAGATGGGGAAACTGAACCCAGAAGAGCAAAATGTCTGTTGATGTCCCTCAACAGGGGACAGCCTGGCTTCCCTCCTCCCAGAGCAGCACCCCACCCCAGCTGTGGGAGAGGGACAGGAGTGGCAAGAGCCAGCTGAGAGCTGTGAAGGAAGACACTCCACCAGGGCAGGTGAGGACGAGCCCAGGGCTGGCAACTCTCACAGATCTTCACAATACATGTGAAGTCTGACAGAAATTGCTTGTTTCCTTCTGCAAATCAGCACTTAGGAAATGTAAGCGTTGGATAAATCATTCATGGACAGCACGAGATGGTAGGAAACAATAAAACCCCAGGCAGCTAAATTGTAAATAAATGGATAGGCTTTTATTCAGTATTTATTGCTTGCTCTATTAATGCTGAAATCAAACTGACACGTGTAACAAAATAATTATTTTCTTGGCCAGAAGCAAACGTTCAGTACTTCTTTTTCATTAGTTTTGAGATGGGTAATCCTTCCTCTCAGCTTTAACAGCGTGTGAGAAGTTATAAAGGAAGAGGCAGAGCTCAATCACCGAGATCAGGACGTTAATGATGGTACATCTCCCGTGGTCAGCCTGGCAGAGCCTGTGGGGAGGACACCAGGGCAAGGCTCTCCACCCTCACATGCCTGCTGTGAGTCCTGCTGCTGTTCACATTTCTCTCTGTGGAGATCAATAACTCCCCAATAACTCTGGTCTGACTCACCAGTGATTCCGTGCAGCCCACGGGGGTCCTGCTGCTCCCAAAGGGCTCTGTGGGCTCTCACATTCCACCCTGTGAGAAACCAGGTGCAGCCATTCCCCGAGACTATTCCTTGAAAAACGTTAAGCATTTTCATTCTGAAGGAAGGTATCAGGAAGCAGAGGAATGTCACTGCACTCCAAACCACTCCTGCATTTCAGTATTTTAAAGCCCTCGGGACGACTGAGCTCAGCAGAAGTGGTGGCAGGTGGGCAGGTGGCACCAGCACATCCTCAGACACAGATGCAGGAGAGATGTATCCACTGTACAGCTACTGCTGCCTGAGTGCCAGAGGAAGGTGGGAAGAGAGCCCTTTTCCTGTTGAAATCCTCCAAATCACACAGCTCTGCTCAGCTGCGCACTGAAGGAGAGCGGATGTCTGGCGGACACGGCTTCAGTCTGGTACTGCTGAGGTTATTTCCAACACAGAAGGTCTCTGCACAGTCAGGCTGTTCTCTGGAGCCCTTGTGCTCGGTGTGGAGCAGCTGCTCCCACCAGCCCTGGTTCTGTGTTAGTTAATTGGCCAGACAGCGACCACGACGATGGCGATGAGCAGCAGCACGATCACCACCAGCATTCCTGCAAGAGATGGAACAACATTAAGGTTGTGCCTTCAGCATTTACAAATGGTTTCCTGCAATTAAATTCTTCCTCTGAGTCCTGCTCCTCCACCCAGCTGAGACTGATTCCCTCTGCTCATCCCTCACAGATCCCTGCACACCAGCCACAGGGACAGAGACGTGGACTCAACCCCCACGTTGGCAGAGAGGGTCTTTCTCCTCCTGACCTTTCGAATATTTTCTAACAGTCCCTGCAGGGTATTTTCCTACCTGAACATCTGTCATGCAAAGACTAAGGGATGTGTTTAACTCATGGTGAAGCCAGTTAAGCTTTTCTAGAATCCCTCTGTACCATCCCACTGGGGCAAAGGATTATTCGGAAGGAAATCCAAATTGCATCAGGAAATTGTTTCCAACACAAACTTCTCCTGCTTTCAGAAAAAACTCTGTGCAGACAAAAAAAACAGGCTTTCAGGCATGTGCCTGACTTGGGAAAATGAGGATCATCCAGCACTGGAGAGAGTCCAACAGTTGCTCTGCCCCACCATGCAGCTTGTGGCTCCCTGTGCCCCATCCTGCCCCCAAACTTTAATGAATGTGATCTTACAAAACTTCACAACTACTTCTCAATTCAGGCACACCAGCTGCTCTGAAGGACAGTGTTAAAAAACATGAGTTATGGATCGTTTTAAAGACTGATCCCAAAGCCCAGCACAGCAGATTTTCTCTCCCTCACAACTGAATGACAGTGACAAGGTGACATGGCTGTGGGAACCTGCTAGAGGAAACTAATTCATAGGATCACAGAGGGGTTTGGGTTGGAAGGGACCTTAAAGATCATCCAATTCCAACCTCCTGCCATGGGCAGGGACACTTTCCACTATCCCAGGTTGCTTCAAGCCCCGTCCAACCTGGTCTTGGACACTTCCAGGGATGGGGCAGCCACAGCTTCTCTGGGTAACCTGTGCCAGGGCCTCACCACCCTCAGAGCCAAGAATTTCTTTCTAATACCCAATCTAAATCTACTCTCTATCAGTGTGATATCAGAACTGCCACTCGAGTCCCTTGAAAATAGTCTCTCTCCATCTTTCCTGTCAGCTCCCTTCATGTACTGGAAGGCCACAGTTAGGTCACCCTGAAGTTTCTCTTCTACAGGCTGAAAATCCCAGCTCTCCCAGCCTTTCCTCCCAGCAGAGCTGCTCCATCCCTCTGATCCTCTTGGTGCCTCTCTGGACTCTCTCCAGCAGCTCCATGTCCTCCCTGTGCTGTTCCCCAGGGCTGGAGCAGCTCTGCAGGGGGGTCTCACCTGAGAGGGCAGAGAGGCAGAATTACCTCCCTTCTCCTTTGCTCCCCCTTTCTTAGGGGACCTCCTTCCTTTGTCTTCCTTTTTTTAGAGGAAAAGAACAAATGTTTCAGTGAGAATGGCCTGGATCCCTCCAGTCCCCCCATCACCTCCCAAACCACCCCCAACACACAAACTCCTTGCCTGGCTGGACCACTGTGCTGGGCACTGGCATGACACACACAGGGGTGTCCCCTGGGCTTAAATGATCTTTTAATTAAGAGGCTTTTATTTGTGTTTAGTATCTGCTCTGTGCTGTCTCTCTGTCCTAGCTGTGGGAATGGTTCCAAGAGCGGAAAACCTGTCCCTTCCTTTGGTCTGCTCACACATGACTATTACTCAACCACTTACAGTATTTACAAGTCCAGCTCATGGCAATTAAAAAAGGATGTATTAAAATAAACCCCTCTTTCCAAGCTGGAAAAGGATATTAGACACTGCTTTTTGTAAATAGTGTCATGTTTTCTGTGCAGAAACTGTTTCTCTGCCAGGGGTCCAGGATTTTTTTTTCCAGGGAAATAAGAGTTGCCACCAACAGTATTTTTTTTTCTTTTATGCTCAGTTGAAACCATTTGTTATCTGAGCTTGGGCTGCGCTTCCCTGCACTGGCTCCAGCAGGTCTTGGATACTGAGCCTTTTCCTTGCAGGAACAGCTGTTGGCAGAAAAGGCAGCAATTCCATGTGCTCCGCCTGGGATGCCCTAGGATGTGGCAGGACCTGGCACTGCAGTGGGGAAAAACTCTTTGGCTTGAGAGGGACAGGACACAGTGACTGCGCCCTGTGGGCAGGATGGTTTGGGTTTAGAGGACACCTGGATGAAACTGTTTATTAAACTGATTATTGGCAACACCATCTATGGAATCACAGAATGGTTTTGGTTGAAAGGGGGGCCTTAAAGATCATCTTGTTACACTCCCCTGCCATGGGCAGGGACACCTTCCACCAGCCCAGGTTGCTCCAAGCCCCGTCCAACCTGGCCTTGGACACTTCCAGGGATGGGGCAGCCACAGCTTCTCTGGGCAACCTGTGCCAGGGCCTCACCCATTCACAGGGAAGGATTTCTTCCCTATATCTCATCTAAATCTACCCTCCTTCAGTTTAAAGCCATTCCCTTTGTCCTGTCACTCCAGGTCCTTGTCCCCAGTCCCTCTCCAGCTCTCTTGGAGCCCCTTCAGGCCCTGGAAGGGGCTCTGAGGTCTCCCCAGAGCCTTCTCTTCTTCAGGTTGAACAGCCTCAACTTTCTCAGTCTTTCATTATCTTTCTGGTCTCACGTCTTATACACCTTAATATACATTTTGCAGTTTTCAAGAGAGCCAGAAGCAAATAATTTGCTTATATGGGGAAGAAATAAGGTCTGATAAAGCCACCACATTCCGATTCTCTGTTATGTTTTGCACTGGAGGGAAAAGTTTTAGAGGGTGCAAATCCTTAGCACAGTTTCAGCCTAACAGAGTTTATGGACTCAAGCAATTAAGAGACAACTGAGATCAGTTGCTTGGAAAATACTCTATAGGTGTGAATTAGTAATGATACAAAGTGGAGTTAATGGGGTGTAATTATTCTTTGACAACTCCCAAGAAAAACTGCACATAAACCCTGAATTATTCCCCAGCAGGAAGAGGGGAAGGTGGGGGACTAATAAAGTGTTGCTAATGGGCAAATGAACCCGAAATTTCAGGGGACCTTCAGGGCAGTAAGAGCAGGACAGCAAAATGAAATAATCCTGATTTTATTCCTGGAAAGAGACTGGTATTAAAAACCTGGAGCCAAAAAGCAGTGGTCAAGTCCTTATGCCATGTGAGCAGCAGAGTCAGCCTGTGTTGGTGCCCCTCCATCAGTGACCAGGGATCTGATCCGAGTGATTCACACACAGAGAACAGGACAACATAAATTGCCAATAGCACACAAATTTCAAAGCACCTCTTGCATGATAGAGACCAGATGTTACACACATTTTTCTCCCCCCTTGTACCAAAGAATAGCAGATTAAAAGGATCTGAAGGTTTTAAACCTGGGTGTTGCACATGCTTTCCTGACAAAAGCTATGGATAGGATCTGACAGGAATTCTGCATTCTGGATTCCCTGCCTGCTTTGTTTTTTGTTTTTTTTTCTCAAGTCCTGTGAATTATAAATATTCCCCTTGACAAGAAGGCCTCAAAGAGAAGTTCAGGAATCAAAGTCACTAACAGAGTCAACAGGAGTCGGACAAGAACAAAGAAAGATTCTTGCACAAAAGTGAAAGGAATACAAATCCAAACTGCATCTCTCAGGGAAAGGTGGGAAGTGAAAGCAGAAATCTATGAGTAATTACAGAGCAAATAACGAAGGCAGGCTGGAGAAAATGCCACTCCAAGCTCCCTCTGCTAAAGGCTCAGTGTTCCAGCTGCTGTTCCAGCTGCTGATCCAGCTCGGAGGAGCAGAGCAGAAATGCAGAGAGCACGTTCCCAGCTTACACTAAGTTCCAAGGTATGGCAGGATGGCAGGATGGGGATCTCCCCACCATTCCTGGGAGCACCAGCCCTGTTGCTCTGCCAGGGGTTACTGCTGCTGCTGAGATCAGCTACACCTCTGCTCATCCCCCCAGTCCTGACTCCCCAGTCCCTTGGCTCAGTGGAGGTTGATACTTCAAACCCCACCAAACCTTTTCCAGAAACAGTGAAGATCAAATTTTCAGATGTAAGATGGAAAGAAAAGGTTAAAATACATGTAATTAATCTCTAGGTTAAGATCTCTCTTTAGTCTGTCTCTCCTGCTCTGTCCAGCCCTGAGAGCAGAGGATCTGGGGTTCACACCACACTCCATCTTCCCAGGGTCACCTGGGGCAACCCAAGTCCCCAGGCTATTCCCTCTCCCCAGGATTTATCAGCTCTGAGGGTCACTGCTTTGGGGTTCCTGATTTACTCCTATACAAACGACTTTCCAATCTGAGGTTCACATAGAAATGCAAACAACTCCTCCAGGTCCAAATCCACCTGAAGGGGTTTGGGCATCCAGGAGAGGAATCTGCACCCCCAGTTACACCTCAGTGTCCAGTGATCATGTCAATACAGGCTGGCTGAGGACTCTTGTTCCCTTGTGCCTACTCAGCCTGGCAGTAGCCACCCCTGCCTGGTTGGGCCCTACTCCAGGGTGTAAGTTCTCATTAGGTTGTTTCTTACTTACACCCCACTTAGACCCTGCTCCCTGGAGCACTGTCATCCCCAGCAATGACAGACACCAATTGCATAGATGACAAGTCCAATAAACCATTTTATTTCCCTCTCTTTATCCCAGTCTTTGCTTTTTCCCATCGCAGAGATCCCAGACGTGGCTCGGAGCCACACCAAACTGAGCACCCTGTACAACTGGACACAGCACATCCCTGCCCTTGGGAACATCTCTGCCATGGGGAGCATCCCTGCCCTGGGGAGCATCCCTGCCCTGGGGAGCATCCCTGCCCTGGGGAGGATCCCTGTCCTCTGGGATGGAGCCCATGCTACAGGCACAGCACATGTGTTGCTGCTGAAATCCCGGGTGTGCTGCAGAGCTGTGAGAGCACGGAGAGTTAACAAACATTTCTGGTTTGTAAGCTCATGGAAGCACAAGGTGGCATGTCCCAAACAAGCCCATTTGCCTGCAATAACTGTTGGGAATCACAAGCAACTCTGATGAAGTGGTTTCCTCAGGGAAGAGCGGA